GCACCAGGATTGATAGAAACCAGTTGGTTCAAGTTCTCTGCTGAAGACTTAAGAATGAGATATTTGGATGTTCAGTTTGTTTGCTTTTATAACCGATACCAACAATGTAGAAACTTTTCATAGACATATCTGTGTATGTGTATACACACAGGTGTGCAAGTGTGTAGATATATCTTTGTATGGCTCCAAGTGTTTGATAAATGATGAAGACTCAGATTTTGGACCAAATGGACGTTATCAAGATGTGCATTTTTAACAGAACTCAACATATTTTCTGTTCAATGTTTTGATGCTACCTAGTTTAAATTTAGCATAGATGTTGTCATCTTTTTCTACATCTTTCTCTGCCACATGGTCATCAGCTCTCTTCTTGACCATTTCTATATATGGAGGACTCATTACCTCTTGGGAGAACTAATGTATTTACTATTCTTGACCATTAGAAGGTTCTTCCTTCAACTAAACTAAAATTTTCCTTCTACTGTGGCAATTTTCTTGAGATTTTCACCTTGCTTATTGGGTAATCTGATATATTCTTTGCTGATACCCATATTCTGCTAATATCACTTAGGATGAAAAAAATAGAATTTTAATTATTTGAAATAGTGAACATTTACCAGTGGGATTGTGTTCCTCAGATAAAATTCACATTGGATTCCTCAGATTAAATTCCTCATTCTACATGGAGATTTTGAAATATTTGAAAACATATATATATAATGTCCCTCTTAAGTTGTCTTTTTTCCAGGATAGACATTTCCAGTGTTTGTAGGTTTCCTTAGCAGGCTCTAGTTTGGAGACCCTCTTACACCCTTGTCACTTTCTTGCCTGTAGCTGTACCTTTTAGAGAAAGAACCTGCTGGAAACAGACTAATTTCATAGCAACTGGGGAAAATTATGACTAGTCATGAGGTCATTTGATGTAACCCTTAAAATCATATTTAACAGTATACGAAATGCTCATGACATAATATTAAATGGAATAGGGGAAAATGTATTTACAACCAGTCCAATTTAATAAAAAAAATACATATGCACTTGTAGAATGGGATTCCAAATATCTGTCAAAACAAAAGGAACATGGTATTTTGGCTAGTTTTGACTCTCTTTTATGCGTTTCCAAATTTTCTACCCACAAAAACCAAACCCATGCCATCCAGTCAATTCCAACTCATAGCAACCTTGCATGTTGATGTTGTGTTGTTAAATGCCATCTAGTTGGTTCTGACTCATAGCCACCCTGTATAGGGTTTCCAAAAGCAGCTGGTGAGTTTGAACTGCTGACCTTGTGGTTCAAACTGACCATGCAGTCCAGTGCTTTTCTAATTAGGAAAATAAAAAAAGGTTTACAAAGAAACAAAACTGAAAAGGAACCTAACATTGATAGAACCCATAGAGTTCAAGTTGCACATTTGAGAGGAGCTGGCATCTCTTGTTTTGTCACTTCACTTTATTAATCCAGTCTGTGGGATTAGGAGTTTTGACATGTGAATCACATTGTGGATTATAGTGACTTGCAGTTAACTGAAGCCTCTGAAGATTTTTTTTCACACATGAATTATTACTATGTCTTTTAAACCTGGTAACATCATTGATAGCAACAGAAATAGCCAGCTCTCTGGCCAAGAGAAAGGAAGGACACTGTAGTCTGTCCCATGTAAGTGGCCTTCCTATAAGTCTAGAACTAGGAGGCTTGGCATTGTGTGTATGATGGGGGACTCATCACTATCAGCGTTACAGTCTGGTGGGCAGTGGCCCCACATTGCAGCCTCATGAGCAACAACAAAATGGACCAACTCTGGTTTTCCAGAGCAAACTCGCCCTGTTTGGCAGTTCTTAAATGGGTCAGAACCAACTCAAGGGCATTTAACAACAACAACAATGAAGATGGATGGAGCCGTGAAGCTGAAATGGTTAAATGCTCACTTGCTAATGGGAAAGTTGATGGCTCTAACCCACCCAGTTGTTCTGCAAGAGAAAGACTTGGTAAAGATTATTGTTGTTGTTGTTAAGGTTCATTGAGTCGATTCTGACTGCATAGGGTTTCCAAGGAGTGGCTGGTGAGCTTGAACCACCAAACTTGCATTTTAAACCAACTTTGCAGTCTAGCCATTAACCTGCAGCTCAGCATCCTGTGGGTCAGTTCTACTATGTCAGAAGAGGCCACTAAGATTGAACTCCATGGCATACAACAAGAACAACTACTAGGGACAGAACTCATGTAGGGTCACAGCCTAGCCAGGGAAGGAAGCCCCCTGGAGTAGGAAATGATCCTAGTGACTGCCTTTGTTATTTCAGTCACTTCTTTGAAAGGAAAGGGCCCTTACATACCAGAACCTAGGAAATAATGTAACACACAGTTTCTTAATCTCCTCTTTGGAGAAATCTCCAGGGTCTGCAGATAAAGAAGGGAGGTAAAGAACGGAGAAGGAAGTAGAATAGTCAGCAGAGTCAGGAGCTAATTCTATATGGGGCAGTCTCTCGGTGTTCAGAGGAATGGTTTTTAGGAAGCCACACAAACAGCCAGAAGGACATTTCTGAAGTTTGCAGAGGGCATGGGGAGGAGAAGAGCTGTAATAGACTACTGCTAAAGTGAAATCTACCATTAGATGCCACATCTACAATTAGATGGCACAGATTGTACCATTGAGGCAAAATCTACAATTCACAGGCAACTCTTGATAGTTTTGCCGACAAGGTGAGTTATCATCTCTGGGAATGCAGCTTTTGTTTAATTTCTGTCATTCCGCTCTGCGGATATGTAGGCTGGACTATGGCAATGAGTCATTTACATTTTTTTAAATGAACAAATATGCTCAGTCTGATGCATATTCTTCTAGATTTATTAAACCCATGATGGACACAGAAAGGTGGTACCTCAGTATTCAAGAATATACTAGGCATCTCCTAATATTTTAAACATGGAAACAACTCACTGTTTTTTTGCAATGTAAACACACTTTCCCAAACAAATGACCCAGAACATTGGCCTCTTGAACACTTGTTGGTTACTCATTCTTTCTTCTATTTAAACTCTTGCTCTCCTAAATCTTTGGCTATGAAAAATATCTTTTTTTTTTTTTTTTTACTTACATCTAGATGTGACAGGAGAAGTATAACTTAGTTATAGTTGGGATATTTTTTAAGTGAATGCACTAATGCTTGAATGGTGGTGGTGGTAGTTGTGTACTGTTGAGTTGGTTCCAACTCACAGCAACCTTGTATAGAGTTTCTGAGGCTGTAAATCTTTACAGGAGTAGAAAGTCTTATCTTTCTTGCACAAGCAGATGGTAGGTAAATTCAAACTGCTGAATTTGAAATTAGCAGCCCAACTCATAATCCACCAAACCACTAGGGCTCCTTAATACTTGAATGTTGTTGTTGTGTTAAGTGTCATACAGTCAGTCTCATTCATAGAGACTCTGTAAAGGGTTTCCAAGAAGCAGCTGGTAGGTTTGAACACTTGACCTTGTGGTACTCAATCCAGTACTTATCCTATAACACCACATCATGAGTTTTAAAGCTTACATGCTGACATTAAAATAAAGCAATCTCTTATTTTTCAAACAGCTGTGGGTTTGTTTCATCAGGAATACAGTGTGTGACATTACTGGTAAAAAATATTAGAGGGTGTGGTTCTAGCCCAGAGGTGTTTACTGTTACTCTGGTCTGTTAGCATTTCTTGTTTGTTGAGGGATAATAAATGCTGTTGTACTCAATGTTATGGGTATAGAATGTTGTTGTGAAGTGCCATAGAGTCGGTTCTGATTCATAGAGACCCTAAATAGGGTTTCCAAGGAGTGGCTGGTGAGTTTGAACCACTGACCTTGTAGTTCAAACTGACCTTGAGGTTCAGTGCTTTATCCCACAGTGGCACACCAGTGGCACACCAGGACTCCAGGGTGTGAATTTGTTGTTGTCAGGTGCCATTGAGTCGGTACCGACTTATGCACAGTAGAACAAAACACTGCCAGATCCTGGGCCAACCTCACTACTGTTGCCACGCTTGAGTCCATTGATGCTGCCACCTGGCCAATCTATCTCACTGGGGGTCTTCCTTTTTTTCTCTGACCCTCCACCCTACCAAATATGATATCCTTCTCCAGTGACTGGTCCCTTCTGACAATATGTCTGAAGTATGAGAGACGAAGTTTGGCCGTCTTGGCCTCCAAGGAGCACTCTGGCTGCACTTCTTCCAAAACAGATCTATTGGTTCTCTTGGCAGCCCATGGTACTTTCAATATTTTCCTCCAACACCATAACTTAACTGTATCAATTCTTCTACGATCTTCCTTATTCACTGTCCAGCTTTCACATCCATATGAGGTTATTGAAAATACCATGGCTTGGGTCAGGCGTACCTTAATTCTTAAACTGACATCTTTGCTCTTCAACACTTTAAAACAGGGTGTGATTAGGCATTAGCAAAAACCAAAAACAAAAAAAGAAAACATTCTTGCCTTGCTGCTCTTGTTGTAATGTGAGTTACTGCCCTTTTTGACTCTTTTCCATTGTTTTTTTCCAGCAAGAACCAACAGTTCAAACCCACTAGCACTCCACAGAAACCCTATACAAGGTCACTATGAAGCAGAACTGACTTAACAGCACTTAACAAGAGCAGCATTTACTGTTGTCAACTGGAGTTGATTTAAACCTCATCAAGTCTCCCTCTTCTTTGCTCCTCCCTGTATCTGCCCATTTTCTTGACCCATTTCAGTTCTTTCAGGCGTGATGTTTCCTTATTTGCTTCTCACAACATCATCTGTCATTGGATGCTGCTAGACCCTTTTCCTTAGCTATTTGTTTGTGGGTTGAGCTTCACACCAACAAGAAGGGCAGTTCCAGAATATGTGTGTGTGTGTGTGTGTGTGTGTGTGTAAGTGTATCTATGTGTGAGCTTATGTAGGTGTGTGTGTCTTTGCCTGAGTGTTCCTAATAACTAGGGGTGTCAGGACACTTAAGTTACACACTTTTCCAAACGAAGGTCAGCTTGTACTTACATAGTTGGAGGCGAGGTCTGGATGCAGGTAGTCAATCCCTGTGAAAAAAACAAGGACAGAATAGAAACTGAAGGTTAATGCCTGACAATTGTGTCCTCAGGAAAACTAGTAAAGAAACTTATCTCCTTATGGGAGATATCACTGGGAGATTTGTAAGTGGGGTGAGTGTTGATGGAAGCACACCCCGAGGACTCTTAGCCTTTAGTCTGTTACCACGTGAAGATATGAGGCATCACTGTGTGGAAAGACAGCTGCCATCAGAGTCCTGATGGAGAGTGAAGTCAGTTAGAGCTTGGGACCCAAGGGTACAGCTTCTGACATGAATGTAGCACAAGGGGGTTTAGTGACCTCAAGATAGATAACTCGTCGGATCAGTGATTTAAACAGATTTGCAGGTATCCTGACATTTCTAAAGCATCAGCTGCCATTTCTTCTGAAAGGAAACTGGCCCAGGTAAGGAAAAGTGATTATTATTTAACAGGACACAGACAGCAATGAATCAGGAGCACATTCTCTGGTGTGGAAATAAGATGAAGGACATGGCTTTGGAGAGAAAAACCATTAAGTAGAGAGCAAATGTTTCGCAGCACGGTGCTCCATGTTGGAGGTTGATGCTCCAGTCTTATCAGAATGTGGCATGACAGAAAGCCTGACACCGTAAATCTCTCAAGTGGGACCCCATGCTTTCTCTGGAATGGCAGTCTACTTTGCTGTGCAGGCAGTACTTACTGAAGATGGAATTTGATCTGGGAATACTGCTGTGTTCCACCAGACTCTTGGATCTCTGGAAGCACTGTGGAACTTCAGGGCAAATTGGAAAGCTCTTATCCAGGCCTGCAGTGTCCATGTATTCTCTGCAGTATCCAACCCTCCAAGAACCAGGCAAGCCTCCTTACACCATGTAGCATAATGGTTAAGAGTGCAGTGTTTGGAGTTAAATACCCAAGTTTGAATTCCAACCACCTTGCTAAATGGCTGTGGGACTTTGAGCAAGCTGCTTGGCCATTCTGTGCTCACATCCTCCTAAAGTATAAGGATTAAAGAAACTAATGTGTGTGGTGTGCTTAGCCTAACTAGCTACTGGTGCAGAACCCACATTTAGTAACTGCATTGGGTTGACAACACTTTAAAGCTAAAAGTATCATTAACTCTTTCCCTAGCATCATCACCATATACATCCTAAGGCTGAGTCAAAATTACAGCATTACCTTGCAGAAAAGACCTGTATCTGGGACATATGAAGTTTTAAAGGAGTCCTGCTGTGGCATCCTACAAGAAGCTCTGGACTTCAAGGTCAGTTTGAACTGTGAAGTCAGTGCTTCCAACTCACCAGCTGCTCCTTGGAAACCCTATACAGAGTTACTCTGAGTTGGGACTGACTAGACAGCACACAACAACAACATAGTTTTCAAAAAGACTTTTCTTTTGTTGTTTTCAGGTGATGCTTGACTGAGAGAAACTGTCCTACAGCACACGTTCCACTTTGCTGCTGATGCTTCAACATATGAAGCAATTGGTGTCATGATGGAGTCTTCTTCCAGCTAGGGAGAGTCAGCCAGAGACTTCCTACCTCCCACTCACCAGTCATAGGATCTCACCTTTCTACTCCTCTCCCAAGGATGATGGAAGGAAAGAGAACACAGCATTTAAAGACCAACATTTTCAAAGGTTGTTGGTTCTTATTTTGGATCCTAATTCAGAAATGATCAATTTAGGTTATGGGTGGTTGTGAAGGAAGTACAGGGTTTGAAACCAACAGATCAAACTCCATTCCAGGATCAACTACTGTAAGATATGTGTGGCTGTGGTCAAGTGACACAATCTCTCTGAGCTTCAGTTTCCTCATCTTTGAAATGGAGATCTTTCTTATCCAAGGCAAAAGGAATTGTAAAGATTACAGATAATTTATTGAAAGTGTTTGGCTCATAGGAAATACTTGAGAAATTATATTTCGAATCACCATCATTTCCATCATCTGCCAGATCACTGGAGTAATACAGATAATACAGAAGAGTAGATAACATTTTTAAAAAGTTGACTTGGTTTAAGAATGCTGCATTAAAATAAAATTATAGATAGTTTTTGAAGTTGGTTAAATTTTGTGAGCTTGTTATTATGAGTGAGAA